AATAATTATATACATATATATTTATATTAGTTTATTTAATATTTAAAGCGTTAACGTGTAACTTGATGTTATTTTGCATCTTATTATTAATATTTAATTTAATCTCAATTTATAATTAAACCAATCATTTTTATTGGTTTTTATTAGATTAACAAAATATTTATCTATACTAATCCATTATTTTACAGTAACACTGATACAATAAATAAAAGTAATTTTATTTTTCATATCTCATCACGTTAAAAATTAATAAGAAAAACAAAAAGAAAGAATCCGTACTTATAAAGAAGTTGGATAAAGTTGCTCTAGACATTGAAGTGTCCTTGAAAGCAGCTTAGGTTCTAATGTCTCGAGAACAAGGCTAGGGCAAGGTAGAAGAGAGAAAAAGAGAGAAAATAAAGAAAAAAAAAAAGTCATTTCATAGAATGGTACTAGGTAGGTACAAGGTAGAACTTGTTACTGGATAGGGTTGATGGAGGTTCACAGGGATGAAACGAGTAGGTGAACTTCTACCCCCCGTTGCGAATTACCGTTGCTCTTAGCCAATACGCCGTTGGAGCATTTAATGCTACGGTTAGTATAGCGCCTTCTTTCTGTTCAACCGGTTTCCTTTCAATATCTCTTTAACCTTCGTGGCAGGAAATACAGTAAAAAAACGCCATTCTTCTAAAATCTTGGCCACTGTCTACATTCACTTTTTTCTAAACATAATTTTCAAACACAAAATATTTCATTGGTATTATTCAATACAGTTTTATAAAATTTCAACTATTCGAAATAATTAGGAAACATCAAATATTTGAATAATAAAATAATGAAAAACTACAGAAAAATGACCCTAACCTATTAAAAAAAAAGAAGTATAAAAAAAAAAAAAAATATTAGATTTTAATTTTTAATTTCTAATATTGGGTTAGCAAGAAAGTAATTTCGGTTGTTTAATGTGAAATATTACTTTCTTTCCAACCCAATATTAATATTAATTTATACATAAGTTTTTAAATAAAGTTAGCCTATTGTAAAAAACTATAATCACAGTATATATGAAATCATAAAATTGATTATATTACAGTGTTCAAATATTTTTCGAAATGACTGTATATTTTGCTTTTTCTTTTTCATTATACTTTTTCATCATTGTTACATTATAAATAGTTAGTTTGTAATCAATATCAGACTTTATTACTAATATAAATAATTAATTGTGTTTTGTATGATTTATCCTAGATATTGAACCTTTTACACGTAACAAAAAATTCTGATAATAATAATAATTCAGATAACTAAGATTCTTCTGTATTCGACTTTAAAAGAAAAATATTTTTTTAAATACACTGTACAATTCAACAACAACAAAAATACATTTACGATCCAATTTAAAAGTAACTTTTGCCCGGAGTAAATTATAATATTTCCATTTCGCATTTTTGTATTATGAAAAAGAGAAGTGAAGTGGTTTGTTCTGAAAAGATTCTCTGCCAGGTTGGATAGAACAAAATATAAAAAAAAAATTCTTCAGCTAGATGGAGTTGATAGAAAAATAAGAAACGAAGTTTTCGCTATCTTTGACATTCGTATACTCTCTTTCGCCATTTTTTTGATCACTCTTGGGAAAGCTTTTTGCCAAAGTACAATTTCTCCGATGGATTTCATTTTATTTTTCAATTTACACTTATTGAATTTTTATATGAAAGAAAAACTCTCGAGAAGATTTTTTTATAAAATTATTTCTATATATATGTTCTATTCAAATATACAAAAGAACATTTAATAAAACATTTTTTTTAAATAAATTGAAAGCAGCTTAAAAATACAGTCATAAATTTACTTTTTCTTCTTTTGTATCAAAAATTGACAAATGACCAAAATTAATATCCACCTCACAACCCCCGTACTTTAAAAATTAATGACCGCTCACACAACATGTTTGTGATAGCCGGAACATTGGCCGTTATTTTATTTATAATTTTATATATATTTAAAATTATATTATATAAAATTGAATTTGTTGTTTTTTATTTTATGTTAATTTTTTCTTAAATGACAATAAAGTTTTTTTTTAAATTAATTCTTGAAAAATATTACCGGGCCTCTGACGACGTTTGACTGAGTACACGTGCGGCCATTAAAGTGTTAATGCTTAAATAATACACTTATTTTTGTCCACCCATAATGATCTATTGTACTTTTAATTCATCTGTGTGTTCATCGGTATGTCATCTACGAAAGGAAAAAGGTTGAATACCACTGTTATATACAATGAATCCATCTTTTCTAGATCAAAATTTCATCCCTAAATAAAAGAAGAGTTTTGATGAAAATAAGTAAATGCATTTTATGAAGAAATCGATCTTACAAAACAAATCTCAATTTAGTTTTAAACGACAGATTTAAAAATATAAAACCTTCATCGTTAAAACATTATATCGTCAAATTTTTCTTTACAATTTCTAATACAAATAGAAAAATAAGTGAAAGCAAACGTCTGCGTTTACAATCTAACACACACACACACACACACACATACACTATGGTCTCGAGTTTCACATTTTAGCGAAAGAAATATTAGAAGCTAAAAATATATTATTAGAACTGCTATTTATTGGATTAATATTTTTAAACGTTTATTTTTAAACAAAAGATTATTGGCAACTGTCAAAGTTCATTTGTAATGTAACTAGTAATATGAAAATTTCGATATTTTCAATATTTATCTCATAAATAGAAATGGGGGGCATCTGTACATGAAAAAGCTTTATTCATCTTATTATTTGTTGAGATGAAATTTGTACCACAAAACAAAGATAACGTTTCTCATTGAATTCCAAGAACTAAAACATTTATGCAATCTGACATTTTGCAGCATACGTGACTAGAAATGGACTATCATCTAACAAACAATGAAATGAACTTAAGAATATATTGTACAAAATATATTAATTATACAAGTGGAATATATATTTCAAGAAAAACAACTTCTTAATTATGCAATAACATTTTTACATAAAATTTCAGTTCATAAAAACCCTGTACAATTAAAAACAATAATGCGAATGAAAAGAATATATGAACAAAATTGAAAGAGTATTAAATTAAGTTATCGAAGGTCAATAGAATACTTAACCTTCCCCAAAAAGAAAAAACTTATTTTTTATCTTCACGATAGGTTCCTTTTTCCTACTGGATTGACTTTATTTGATATCGTAGCTGGTCGAATTGATCAAAATCAGAAATCCTTCGAATTCCAAAGGGACGTGGTTTCATCTTTGTATCATTCGAGATGTAAGAAAGAAATAAAAATAGGAAGGTATCATAGTTATTACAGTATCGGTTTAACTTACTCCCGTAAGATTTCTTCTATCATTTCCAAACGAAAAAAAGGGACACGCACATATGGGAAAGAAAAAGAGGTTAGAAATAAAAAGAAAGAGAGATAAACAAGTGGTGTAATCATCTTGCCTATTTCTACCCTCTATTTCATGAGAAGAAAGGTGACAAAATCCAAGAAATTGACCCATATGTGACATTAGCTATCACATGCACACACTCTCTCTCTTTTTCTTTCTAAATGTGGCGAAAACTGACGATGAAAAAGCCGACACATCTGTGTCCCCTTTTTTTCCTTTGTGTAGAACAACAAAAACAATTTATCTTGATCATCATTTATTAATTTTCTTTCTAATACTTTTTCATCCATAAATCTGTTCATTGATAATTAGGCAAAGTTACTTTAGAAAATATAAAAATCACATTTTTTTCATTCCCTTTTTATTATTAAAAATGGAATAACCTTCTTCAATATGTTTCTTTGTCTACTGTACAATATTAGAACAAGAATAGTATAAAATAATTTTGTATAAAATATGTTTTATAATTACCCTGTGTAATATAATATATAATATTTCAATGATATTATAATTTTATGTATTGCACAAAAATTATCTTTACGCACAAAACGAGATAATACAATTAGTTTTTATATTGTTCTGTTTTCCAATCGAAACCGTACCACAATCTGATCTTTATTTATATTACGATACTCGTTACAGTAATCGAGTAACGTCTACTTCAAATTTTCAAATACGGTTATTACCCAATCTTGAATAAACCCTAACACCACTGCGTGACGCTAAAAAGATTAAAACAAATAAATATATTATGTGTCTTATTATATTGTTTACTAATAGTTTATGTTTTGACTAATTGTCAAATGTTTCATAATTTTAAGTGTTAGTACTTAAACATTATAAAATTGCAGGGCTATTATTTACATTCAAATCAAAGTTATAAATAATTTAATATCAGTTTTTTACACCAAAAATTTGGAATACTTCTTTTACAAATAATATTTCATATCAATGAACGTCGACAAATTTGAAAGTAAAATCAAAAATCCAATAAATGAAGCAGATAACTTCATTATATTACAAACACACACACAGTTTCCTAACATTCGTAGCAATAGTTATGAAAGAATTTATAATTATATTCATCAAATAAAGTATTTCAAATATGCTTGAAATTTGTATATAAATTAAATTACCCTTAGGGCACCCTCTGATATTAAGACGAAGGGTTGAAACTGAAAAATGATTTGATACTAAACTTTATTCATACTAAACTAACGAGTGCATTCATTAAATACGAAATAACGATTCAACTCAACTATAACGTAGCAATTAATATATTCCGTTTAACTGTGTTAAATGGAAACTAAAAATTGTGAAAATAAAAGATTTGTCTAATTGTAAGTTGATACTTGAAACTGTATATTATAAGTTGTCATAATTTTTGCACCGTGTTATATTGAAACCTAATTTTCAGAATACCGTGTTACAAGAGGGTGGAGTATAATAATATAATGTAATAAAAAATATATCTAGTAATGGGGAAATAATGAATCCAATATGAGCTTACAATAAAAGAAATAAAACAATTAAAAATATACAATAATTTAAAGAAAATAATAAATTATATGTATACTTTACTTTTTGTTTCAGGTAAAGCTGTTCCATTTGTGGAATTGACTGTAGCACATGCCTCAGTTTTAACAATTTTGGCCATTAGTTTTGAACGATACTATGCGATTTGTGAGCCGCTTAGGGCAGGGTAAGTGAAAGAAGAGAAATGTATACAACATATGGGGTGGTTCAAAATAAAGTGACGATAATTTAACAGAACTCTTGTAGCTTCATGAATTATCAATAAAAATATTTCTTTTTTATTATTTAAATTATATTATTTATATTAAAAAGTAACAGAATTAAAATTTGTTGATAATTTACAAAGTTAAAAGCTTTACAGTTGTTTTCATTTTGGATCACCCTATACGTATCAAATTTACATATACTTTAAATCCACGTAGTATATCAAAATCTGACTAACGTTTCTTTCATTCGTAGATATGTTTGCACGAAGGCTAGAGCGACATTTCTTTGCCTTTTAGCTTGGGTAGCAGCAGCCCTTTGCACAAGGTGAGAAGATCGATAGACTTCGTAGGTATTATTGTTGTTTTGTCATTAGACAAATCAAAGTATCGCTTAGCTTGTCACCAGCTTGCTTGATATCCTTTCCTCTACATCAATTTATACATTAATTTTAATTTCCTATTTGCTTATTCGTCATTTGATTTGACATCAAATAAAAATGCATTATATAAATATCATTTGAACGTTAACATTTGATCTAAAGCTCGTTTATAATAACATATTCCGTGCCACATGGGTCGCAAACGTCCCACTCTAAATTTCCGTTCTGGGTTATTTGAAAACCCACACGTGGCTTATTATTAATCGAAAAATCAGTGATAAATGTTAAATAAAAAATCATTTAACGTTCCAATAATTTTACTATCACGAGAAGAAAAAGTAAATAAAAAGAATAATGACCAATATACACCGATACCACAGATCATTATTCGCGTCGTAAAAAAAAGAAAAGAAAAAGGTCCTGCCAAGTGCAAGAAGGGTGAGACTCAGTCGAAGAGACCTCGATTTCGTACTCCATCGAACGTAGTGTACGGAAGTGGTTCATCCGACCTTTATATACATTCCGGTTCAGTCAGATGAGGGAAAACGCATGAACCAGACTCAATAAGTATCGTCTGTGTGTGCGTGAACGTATCTCTATGAGAACAGCACCCGTCTCTCTTGCGTTCTTAAGTACACCGCCTACGGGCGCATACAGCTGCTACTCTTGTCATAAAAAGCATATTATCCGTAAACCACTTTCCACAGGAACGTTTTATATACCGTATGTAAGAACAGATCACTCGTGCTTAACTTTGTCGAAGGGGAGAGTTTTCTCAAGAACCCAACTCCAAAGCAAACGAATTTCGGCCATTTCTTTTTTAACCTAAAATCTTTATCGGATTATTGTTAACAAATAAACCTACCAACACTTCTGTATAATCTATTTTTAGTGTACAGAAACTGAGATAGTTATTCTTAATCTTGTGATAGAACGAATAAGAGATACAGTTCTCAAAAATTAATAAAAATTCGCCAACATTTTCAAGCTTATATTTGCAGAAGTAACAACATTTAAATAGTTTTACAATTGATATTATAACTTTTGAATAAAGTTTTAAATAATCTATGTTATTAGAAGATTGTTTCTCGTTTTTGAATACGAATTTTAGGATATATTCAAAACGTTCATAAGAAAAAATTTCAGATATCCTTTATATTCATTCATGATCGATAACATCTTATGTTCCCGTGTCGGCCAGAGACCAAAAAGTAGTGAGATTAAATTTTCGTCAGACACTTGGCCTGAAATGACGTTAATCTCTATCCCTTTACACGACTAGAAACGTTGTTCCCTCTGGTTTTGATCAACCTTCATTCAAATGTTATACTTGGGATTGAGATTAGAAAAGAGTGAACTTCCCCCTGTAGTTGGGCTGGTAGATCTCTGTCAGAACTTTGATCAGGAATAATAAACAATTCTAATCGCGAGTAATAAATAATTTATTAACGTTTACTCTCTTAAAGTTTAAAAATGGTTAATTTGATCGATCGGTGTGATAAGTTTAGTATTAAATTTTATTTATAAATTATTATAATTTATTTTAAATTTATTTATTTTTTAAGTTATTCTTTTATTTTTTTTTATTTTTTTTCTTTGTAAATAATTTGAAACATTTCGATACGATTGATTTACAGTTGATTGTACGTGCAATCGCATCAAACAGTGATTGATCGCTACAAGATATATATATCAGTCTCTTACGTAACAAGCAATTGTCTTTTCTATCGACAGAATGATATGTGATTGTTAAAACATTTTACAGGACTAATTTTATTATACTAACCTTAAAATATGTTTAACTATTTGAATATTTGATAAAAAACAATCACTAAATAATGCAACGTAAATGATAAAATCAACTTTTTCATTTGTTGTTTATTTATTCCATCAAAATTATTGGAACAATTGCATGCAATAAACATGAATAAAAGTAAATTCTATAAAAATAATTTATTATTAATGTACACAATTTAGTAATTATTTTTTTATTCGAAATAATTGAGTTAGATGCTTAAAGCTGTATACTAACCGTTTGTTGCAATAAAAATAATGCTTCTCTTTATGATTAACAATAATAAACCATTATTAATAGTATAAATTTAATAAAATTTTATTTTGATCAACAGTCCGATACTTTTAATGGTAAACTACGAGTTAGAAGAAGTCGACGATACGTTTATACCAACCTGTTACACTTCAGCCGATGCAACATGGATGAATGTTTTTGTTCTTACAACGATAATCGTCTTTTTCGTGATACCATTGTTAATTCTAATGGTTTTGTACACAGTGATAGCATTACATCTAATGGCAAATCCAGCGATAAGCCGTGGTCCAGCTAATAATTTGTTGAAATATCGTAAACAGGTAGTATTAATGTTGGGTACTGTTGTATTATGTTTTTTTCTTTGTTTATTACCATTTCGAGCATTAACTTTATGGATAATTGTAGTACCTCAAGAAATGATAATCAATCTTGGAATCGAAGGATATTATAGTTTGTTATATTTCTGTAGAGTAATGTTATATTTAAATTCCGCTATTAATCCTATTTTATATAATTTAATGTCTACTAAATTTAGAGAAGGTTTTTTGAGACTTTGTGGATTAGGTCCTACAAGGAAAAGAAAGAAAAAGACTTCTGATAGAACTGGAACATACACAACTGGTTCAACTAATTGTAGTAGCAGTAATCATTCTGATTTCTGGAGAAGACATAGCAGTAATAAAAGTAGCAATGTTAAAGTACCTAGTAATACTTGTACCACTGTATCCGTGGAAAAACAAATTAATGTACCGTTAATCACTGCTGTTGTCACTGGAAATATTGTTAAAAAAAAACAGGAAAGTTATGTTTAATAATAATGCAAAAAATCATAGTACAATAGAGCGTCGATTATTCAAATTAATTGTTAGACAAATTTCTTTCAAATAATCGACCTGAAATAATCAAATTTCTAATTATGTCATAAATCAATTAAAAATTAAGCAATTTAGTAATAAGTCTAGATGACTTATGAGTAAACAAATATGTATTTAATAATAAGGAAAGTGTAATACATCAAAAATTAGACTTTCTTAGATATTGCCAAATCGTGAATTTCATACAATATAAACATTTTTATAACATCTACTTCATTTCGATGTTTAGCTTCAACTATGTATTGGAATATTAATATGTCTCGTCGTATCTTCGTTTATACTGAATATTTGTGTCGTGGAATCAAAAACCTTCTTGCCAAATATAATAGTTATTCGTAAAAAAGTTAACCAATAGTTTAATGTTTAAAACAATCATCCAGAAAGTGAAAAAATTCGATCAAGTCCAGTTAATCTAGTACATTGTTTCTCGAACTATTTTCCTATATGACCCACCATTTTGTGTTAAATTTTTTCGTAATCCCTGGATAGACAGTATAAACGTTATATTTTTATAAATAATATAATCTCATTTTACTATTTCATTGGCACCTAATACTTGTTAAAAAATAGCATAATATTTTTTTTTTATTCAACAAAATTTCTTTAAATTTGACAACACCTCCCCACCCCCGGTTTGCCCATCATTCATACATTTTTTAATACAATGATATTCAATTTATCTTTTTAATTTCAACGCTAATTCTTTTATTTTAATGTTTTTCGTAAAAATGAAATTTATACGTCTTTAAATTCAGATTAGATATTAAACTCTAACATTGAAATCGACTAAAATGTTCCACAACATAAATATTGTTAAATGCATAGATGAAATACGTGAATATGTGGACACATTTTATATTTGGATAAACGGTCATTCGGGTTATCGATGTTAAGATAAATCGACGCTCTACTATATAACTAATTAAAAAATATTATTGTATATTTAAGATAAACTAAATGCAAGTTAATTCTAAGATGAATTGTATCTCGAATTTGATAAGAGTAGAAAAGTATTATTTTAAAGAAAAAAATTTCATCGAATGATAATTTTCATAAATTAAAGTGACCATTTTTTTCAACTTTAATTATTATAATATTTTGTTTTACTTTTTTAAAAGACACTCAACAGTTTAAATTTCTTTCTACATGTTATTTTAAAGAGAAGTAATAGGAAGGAAAAAAATTGTCATACTATTCAAATTCTTTCTCAATAATTTTGTTTTTATCATTTACCAAATTCGAGACAATTTTGATCTCAATTGCCTGATACACCCGATATATTAATTCCAAATGAACTCAGTATAATATATTGCCTTGTTTTATTTTTTATTTAGTTTATCAAAAAATTATAAGACTTCTGTGTGCTAACTTTTAATATCATTCCAATTGCAATGAAATCACGAACTAAATTCCGCTAAAAGTATTCTATGTAAACTATTATAATATTTAAATATATTTTGTAATTGTAATTATAGAAAATGTAGACTATATTGTAAAGTATTAAGTTTGTAATACGTACAAGAAAAGAAATAACTAGTCATAGATTTAAAAAAAAAAAAATTCATTAGAGTTGAAATGTGTAATTTAACAACACGATCATTGTTATAAATAAAAAGCACAAAATATAAACAATGCAATGATGATAAATGATATAACATCTCCTGTTAATTTTTATTTCAGGGTTACAGAGCTGAATAATAATTATGAAAATAATATTTTTAATAAAAAATACAATTTTTAGTAAATACAATATTTTATTTTTAAAAGTATCATTTTTCGAATACATAAAATTAATTATTATTATTATTTATTATTATTTTATATTATTATATGAATATCAGCTTCAAAAAATCGAAAATTTTTTTTCATAAGATAATAGGTAAACATCTTAAAAATATTTTAATTTTTATTTTACAATATGAATTTCTACTTACAATGTTATCAAATTACTCGTTAACTTGATTAAAAATACCGCCAAAAACAAAACTAATTGTGTAGTCAACACTGAAAATACAGTTTAAAGTTTGATTACACTTTTGAACGTTACAGTTAAAAATTTTACTGTTGGCTACCCTGATTATCGAATCAATGAAAATGGCTTTAAAATTACCAAACTTTGGGATAGTTTACAACATGAATAATAGTGTTTGTTTCTTAATGGTCATCAACACAGGCAATTTTTAACGTGCATTTTTATTGGTCGTCATATAGTTACATTGAAATATTTCAATAAATCATATTATATATATTCCGTATTGTTAAACCGTTAACCAACGCAATAGTACCAATTTTAATGGTCGAACAAATATAGAATAGATGCTTTTTTATTGGTCGTCAATGTAGACAATGTCTGACATTCTTTCTCATTGGTCATCATATAGTTACTTAAATAAATCCACAAATCACATTGTATGGATTCTGTCTTGCAAAACTTTTAACGGATGCAATGGTATCTAACGTTCGTGAGCATTTCCGTTCATTTTAGGAGGGAGTCAATAGCATTGTGAGCACAGTGACGATAATAGCTGAAGAATCGAGATTTGAAAGGAACGAGAGCGTCCATTTTCAACTCTTGATGTACGAATATCCAATTTAATGTACATCTATCAAGTAAGTATAAATTATTTTCAATTTGATTAAATTCTTTTCACATTCGTAATATATTTATTTAATTTATAAGAGAAAATGTATATCTTCAGATTAGTGTTAATACGACTATAGATATATTTTACGAGAAAGTATACCAACGCTTTTCCTGAATCACGATTTTGAGTTTCTTCCATATTGATCGATTTTTTTTTAAATTAATTTTATCACTCAATTGAAATTAAATATCAATGTCTTTTTTAATCATTGACTCGATATTATTGTTATTATCATGCATTTAATTAATCATACATGGTATTTGTAAGTAAAGTCTAACGTGTTAGGTTAGGACTAACTAAATTAATCTAAAATCCCGCGTGGTTGGTAATATTTTCATAATTTCATACTATTACTATGCAAATTTTCATTTTATTTTATTCAATATTGTTTAAATTTTTACTACTATATTGTCTTATTTTATTTATAATTATAAATTATTTATTGCTTTATATTTTTTTATTTAAATATATAATAATATATTTTTATTTAAAAAACATATAAGTTGTAAATATTATTTCTTCTGGAATATGAACTTTGTTAAATAAATTTTTTTTTAAACTTTTATAAATTTAAATTAACTAATAATTCAATTGATAAAAATTTATTATAATATTAAAGTTATTAAAAATCAAATTAATAAATGTTGCATTTTTTTTTTATTTTTATATTATAATTTTAATAATAATAATTTATAAAAATTATTGTTTCCATAAAATAGATGAATTATTGTAATTTTATTTATTATTCTTGTAATTAGGATATTAACAAAATCGTTCTACCCGAATGGAGAGTCAATTAAACTCATCAAAACTAGAAAACGTATCAATGATTGAATCGTCTGAAATTTTTCATTTATCTGAGGTACCTGAGATATCAGAAGTATTAGAACCGACAGGTCTCAGTCCATTAACTTCGTCTCTGGATCAAACTCTTACATTACAGGCAGAGAATATGACTATCGAAGAATTGTGGTATTAATCATTTTTCTTGCTTTATATTTGTAATACAAATAATTAACTCTTTGCATTCAACATTGACCGTTTTTAAATAGTATTATACAATTAATTTTTTAATTGATAATGACAAGTTAATTTATCTTGATATTTTGTATTTTATTATCACTTGTTTATTTTTTAGCTTAAAATATTCTTTTATTTATTGAAAAACATATACTCTTTAAATTCCCTATTATTTAAAAATCACGTAAAATACAATGTATTTACATTACTTAATGTATTACAAACTGTATTTTTGATATATTACTTTTCTGAAACAAATTTAAATTATAATTTTATAAAAGAATATACGAGGTTATTATTAGTTTTGGTCAATTTATAAACCGAAAATTTGTAGGATTATAATAATGGTTCAATAATAGAGTACTCGAATGCAAAGAGTTAACACATTGTTGACCAGTAATTTTACTCAGAATCTATCTCATATCATTATGAGTGAACGATAATAAATTTAATGACAGATATACCTTTTCAATAGGCCCGAAGCAAGTAGCCCTGTATCAGACCGTCCTATTCCGCTTCCACCTGCACCTGAATCTGAATTAAGTGATTTCAGAGATGTTGATTTTAGAGATTCTAACACAGATACAAATGTTGATTCAGGAGCATTAGTACAATACGGTCCGCTTTTTCCACCTTCAGGAACACCGGCATTAAACAATATTTTTGCTGAGACTGGAGATGTTCAGGATGATTCTACAATGGGTAATAATATTTCTACTTGTATCTAACACGTTTCATTCTAAACTAATTGTTTATGACTTTCTGTTTAAGCCGCATAAGTCGTATATACACAAATTAATGAATAGCAAAAATTTCAATGGATTTAAACAAAAAGTTCATAGTAAGAATATATGCGACCCAAACGGCACAGAAAGTATTAATTCAACTGTATAAGATATGAAACTAATAAGATATGAAATCAATTACCTCATAGGTCCTTTACCTGGCCATACAGAAATAGTTGTTTTATCTGTTGGAGTTTGTGGACTTCGTAATCTTGGAAACACTTGCTTTATGGCTGCTGGTTTACAATGTTTAACTGCAACGCCACCTGTTTTACATCATTTTTTAAATTTAGAAGAAAAAGGAGAAAAATTACCACCGCCTGGATCTTTAATGGCACATTTTAGTGGACTTCTTTGTAAAATGTGGTCAGGCAAATACAGTGCATTAAAACCAACTGAATTTAAACAGACATTGGGTGTATATCACTCCCAATTTAAGGACTACAGACAGGTAAGCTTGTGACAGTCAAAAAATCATTTGCATTTATGATATCTAAAAGACTTATCGACAACTCGAGGATCCCGGAAGCAATTAACAACGGTTGTCGTTGGCAGCATGACTGCCAAGAGTTCCTTGCGCTACTGCTAGACTCTCTGCACGAGCAAATGAATACGGCAAAATCATCTAAGAATTGCCACGTTCCAGTATCAACGTCAACTGCCAAATCATCCTTTACTCTCGTTGAAAATTCAAATGGAAAGAACGTTTCCTCCGCCACTGCCACTAGGAATTCAAACTGCGCTAGCGATTTCTTAGAAGCTTATAATTGTTTACCAACATTAGATTCTCCTAATAGTCCAAATCTTACAATGGCTGGTTCTTTAAGAGGTATATAATTTAACATATATACATTTTAATATTTATTTTTCTTTTTATCAGATATCTACTATTAAAGACAATATTTAGCTCTGCATATCTTGTTTTAGATTTTAACTCCCCAGTATGTGAATTAGATAGTACTGCAAATTCACCAAGATGCTCACCTTTAAATGATGATGACGATGAAGAGACTTTAGATTCTGAAGAAATGATGAATACAAAATCTGGTTCTTTCATACATAATGAAGTTAATGAAGGAAGTTCTGACGCATGTTCTTTGTTAAATTCTTGGGACAAATTATACAAAAATGTTCCACAGTTTCGCGGATTATATGATATTCACAAAGAAGCTAAAACTAGTAATGCTAATTTTCTTGTAACACAGCAAGAGTGTAATAATGAAATTCATTACGATTCGCAAAAATTTCCAAAAGAAAATGTTCGTAGAATGCCATTGGATAATTCTAATTTAATGGAAAATCATGATTTTGACAATAAAAGTGTTAGTATTAAACGTATTAAAGAAGTTAACATACAGAAAAGTAATCGCGAAGTAGATTGTGTTTCAAGTTGTTCTGACTTAGAATACGATAGAGATTTAGAAAAGTGCAATGTAAAACGAATGAGATTGGAAGATCAAGAGAAAAATCATAAATGTGATGGTTTAAGTGGTACCATGCAATGTTTGCGTACCTTACAACCTGGGGAAAATGGATCAGTTATTCCACAAGATGAAGCCGATAAACATTGGGCTAAGCATTTACGTTGTAATAATAGTATTATAGTAGATACTTTTCAAGGACAATTTAAAAGTACAGTAAGTATTCAAATATAAAAGTTCCTTACTTAAATAATGGAACTTACGTTGGGGTGGCACTAAGTATAATTAGTTATCACCGTGAAAAGTTTCCTAAATCAAAATACAGTAGATCTCTCTTGTTCTTAGAAGTATAAGAGACAAGTCTCATACTGCTGTTACAGATCATACTGCTAACACTTATACACATATAAATCTTTTAACTCCACTTTCAGAGTATATTTCAGTTTTATTACTAAACCATTTGATTAATACTTCATTTTTTATATTTAAAATAAATATATTTTTAACATATTAAAATACAATGAGGATCACCAGTGACTAATACTAAGTTTGCTTATAGTACCACGGAAGTCACTGGTGATCTCTGGTAAGATAAATGTATTACATATAATTACACTATAACTTATTTGTTTTAAGCAATATAAAATAAATGTAGCATTCAACGTGTTAATAATTAAACTTAATGTTACTAAATAAAAATTATTTTTATGACCGTTCAATAATAAATAATAGAATAAAGTATATTTTGTTTTATGAAATTGGCATATTATATAATTGGCTCATATTATACACATATATAATTGATTGATATATCTTATTGAAATATTAGATATTTTAAATTTTTATATGTTTAACAGGTTATATGTGCTGTCTGTAAACATGTTTCGGTAACGTACGAACCATTTATGTATCTTTCGGTTCCTTTACCTCGTGCAATGGAAAGGCAGTTTACCATAACATATGTCCCAGCATACGGTGCTCGACCTATAAGATGTGTAGTATCATTAAATAAACAATCGCGTATAGGAAAATTAAAGGAGGAATTGTTACATACTCTTGAGAAGGAAACAGTATCATTATCAAATATTGCAATGGCTGAGATTTTTGAAAATCACATATCAAAAATTTTGGTGGTGAGTACCTGAATATGTGTATCTATATTTATATTCAATTTTTAATTAGTAGACTTTTGCTTGTAATGTAAATGCACATTATATATTATTATTAATATTGTAACTTAAGTATAAAAAATATTCTTACTGCCTATAGTCAAATCATAATGGAGGAAAAAGAAGACGGTATTTTGATTAATCTCAATAACCGTTGATACTATCCTCCAATAAAAATTCTATGAAAGAACATTCTCATAGTCATAAAGATTTAACTATGGGACTACATTTTGTAGTACAAAATTAATATAATTTTTAACTAAATATTTGTTAAATTATCTAAATTGACAGTTACTTTATATCTTTTTTTTATTATACATTTAAGGATGATAATACATTATTGAGACAAGTCGATGACACTAATCGATCCATATATGCATTTGAATTGACGGATCCTCCTGATGCATGTACTATCCTATCTGACAGTGGTGGAGATCGTTTAATAGAAGCTGAATCTTGTCAGAAAGGTACGGCTGCAAATGAAGCAATTCAATGTACAATATGCCTTGATGATACAGGTGTTGATTTTAAAAAACACGAAGCTAACAACTGCAGCTTGATCATATGTGACTCGTGTATAGAAGTGAGTAATCGTATACAATATTATTTTAATATTATTTTATCTTTTAATATAATACCAAAGTTCATAAATATAAATATAATATGTCCTACCTCTTTCTTGATAGATGTTCTTTTACTTTTTTATTTTTGATATTAAACCCCATGATGAATTAGGCAGTATCAATCTAGCAGAAGGGGTTAACATACGAGGTATTTAATTACCAATAATAAACCTCGGGAAGGTCTGAGAAAAGGTCTGTAAAAACATCCTAGAAGGATGGCACTTTAAAGATGTGTATGGGAACAGAAATAGCTTCGTGTTACCAAATAAGCCAGGGACGTTTTAATATAAACAGAGGTAATTGGGAACACGAAGATGGAAACCTGTATGACCTGCTTTTGTAGCCTAATCTGTCAGCTGGTTTATTTTTATTCCAGAACTCAATTCAGACTAATCTGATACTGCCTATACTGAGGGTTTTTCTTATTTTTATTTTCATTTGTTTAATTATTATCATCTTGTATTTCTTAATCGTAATTAATTTTTTGTTCCCTCAATTAAAAGATAATATATATTGCTATACAGTTAATTTAAAAACTTTAATTTACTTTACTAAGAAAAAAGTCAAGAAAAAATACACTTAACTTTAGAAATTGAAATAAAAATAACAAAACATGCAACATTTTATTTAAATATGAATACTATGAGAAAATGGTTACTTCTATTATCCAACAGAATTGCCCTCGAAATCAAGGGGACCAAAAAGTGTGCCCAATATGTCGTATCGATATAACAGATTTTACCAAAGTGGATCACACCAGTCGACCGAGACCAGTTGTTCGAATTTTGAATGTTCCTTTGGTTTTAAGACACGATACTACTCATGAAGCATCAAACAATCATAAAAGTACAAACCTATTTGGTCACCCATATTTAGTTAGATTACCATCAAGAGTAAATGCTAAAGACTTGTACGATGTTGTCAGGAAAAACATACCACAAGAAGGACATTATACTGTTCATTTTGTTGATGGGCAGGTGAGGATTTCTCTTCTAACATTTTATCTAAGTTATATAGGTATGTTAATTAACTAATCATAAGGTATACAAAAATAAAAAAAATAAAAGCAATACAAAGGCATATAAGTAAAATGAGAAGATATATTTTAATAATAAATGCATTAATTTACGAATACTACATTCAATATTCTCCTTTTATTACAGGGTCATCACTGCTCTCGATGTATGTATAATAAACCTTGTAAAGGTTGCAGCGTACCAGAATCTGGTATAATAACTCTACAAAAAGGTGATAACCTTGCTGTTTGTTATACCGAGCACGTTCCTAAGATAGCATCCCCAATCGATCATAGTAGTATTACAAAACAACATGATCCTTTATCATTATATGAATGTTTACAAGCATTTAGTCAAAGGTAACATCATAATTGATTAAATTATTATACTATTAATAATATAAAGAAAATAATAAAACTATTTTTTATTCTATTATTTATACAATAGCGAAACTTTGGATGAACACAATCCTTGGTTTTGTCCCAAATGTGAACGGAATCAATGTGCTACCAAGACTCTTACAGTTCATAGGTATCCCAAGTTCCTCATAGTATACTTAAAACGGTAAGTAATGTTATATTAATGAATTATATTATTTCATATATATTAAAATATCTGACATAACATTAACATGTTTTTTTAATTCATTACAGATTCGTATTTTATGAATGTACTAGTTTAAAACTAGACGATAAAGTTACATTCCCTTTAGTTGATCTTAACATAGGTCGTCATTTATATGATCTTTATGCTTGCGTATGTCATTTTGGAGGTATGTATATATATACTTTCTTTTTTTAAATATTATATAGGAAATTTTACAAACTTAATTCACCTAAATGTGCTACCTAAATTATTTGTAAATAGTTTTTGTTATATGAAAATTCAAAAGTACGTTTATATTTCAATGAAAAAAAACTAAGTAAAAACAGATTACATTATAATATCCTATCCTTCTTCATCTACTTCATGATAAAATGTACATTTGTGTTCTAATTGGTCCGTACAATAATTTTATTCGTAATGCAAGTATCCGTTCCAACGAAAAATGTATTTGTATATTGAAGAAATTGAAATACTTTTTCATATAACAAACAAATTACAAATACCCCCTTTACTGCTTTATAAATGCATAATTGAACATTTTAGGTGTATCGGCAGGACATTATACTGCATATGCAAAAAATCCCCGTACTGACGTATGGTATTATTATAACGATGACATTACTAGTAAACAAATACCACAAGAAGAGGATTTTAGTAATGCCTACATATTATTTTACAGTCAACAAGGAGTCAATTTAAAATCGTGCAATTTATAACCGCTAAAGTACCTAACCGGATGGTATAATAAATCTCCGGTCAGGCAGACGATAATGAAAAAACAAAAGTATTTTCAATCAAATATTCGTTCAGCGGTCATGTCAAAATGGTTTTTAGATCGTCGATCGTTTTCTTTTTTATTCCTGTTCTCGTTGTTATTGTTGTTTTTTCGAAAACTTAAATTAACTTCTTAACTCGATATTATTATGAACAAAACCAAAAATTTACATTCAAGTTTTAAAAAGAGAAATAGAGGAGAGATAATGGATCATATGTTTTCTTTAAAATAATTATATCGTTGATATACAAGCATGCATTAAACGTGGTATGATCTACTTTTTAAAAGGTCTGAGCATATTTATACTGCACAGTCTGTAAATGTATATCGAATTTGTACAGTAGTTAATTAATGTATATATTATGAAGAAGCATAATTTATTAGCGAATAAAACATGAAGGTTCTAACAAGTAGACTACTAGCATATTCTTTTAATTAGAATTTCAAACAAGTATTTTATTTTTATTTGTATTTTTATTTTGATTGTTATTATTATTGTTGTCAAATTTGTTATCTTAGTACACATGCAAATGCATTTATTAAAAAAGAAATATCTTTTATGTTTTATTATAAATTTTGTTTTCTTTTATTTTTATTTTTAAAAAGTGCAAGAATATTACACTTAATTATCGTTATTGTTGCAAAGCTTTATATTTTGACATAATATACTTATATATACGTATCCCATAAAATTTACAAGTGTTCTTACTTTGTCCCCTTTTTCTTCTCACTTTTACCTTTCTTTTTGCGTTTCTTTATTTTAGTTTCAGCAGATGCATTTGGGATTATTATTCTTGGAGGTGAATCGAACTTACGTAAAGGTATATAATTTCGTGGTAATTTAAACTCAAATTCAAGACTATTTTTTAAATCATCATTGGGCATGATTTGTCTTATTGATTTTAATAAAAACATTTTTTCATTTGGATCTTTCGGAGGTGGTTCATCGTTAGGAATAATATTCACTCTAGTGCATCCTTCTCGACATTTTCTACCTAAAATAAATAAACGCGATTGGGCCAATTTATGCAGAAATCTATACCAGCCCTTTAAATAACTAAAACTTAGTTTTAAAAAGCCCTAGGTGGATCATCTCATTAATTTTGTAATCTTTATTTTCCAAAAATGAATACTCTACAGAACGCTTTTTATATTATACAGTTTATAAAACTGTTTTAGCTATAATTTCATTTTATGTTTATATATATATATATAAAATATTTATTATTAAATTAGATGAGTAATAAAAAGGAAGAATATATAATATATTTTATCAAATTTACAGAAAAACATGATGCACTATACAGCCTTCTGCTTCAAAAAATAAATAATAAGATAACAATTGATTAACTGCTAACTCAAATTAAAAGAATAATTATAATAAAAATTTATAAAATATAATATGTGTTCCTTTTAAATATCCACTTCATAATTTAACAATAATTTATTTATTTATAATTTAATTATAATATTTAATACTAAATAAGTTTTTCAAAAATATTGTAGAATATTTTTGAAAATTGACAAAACAATTTAATTAACTCGATTTCAAATTATTCAAGAATCGGTAATAAATTTCTGCATAATTTGATTCATTTAATATTTTTGATCATTTAAAGTTAATTTAAGAGTCCTAAATATCAACTCCATTTTACCGTATGCATCCGCACAATTAATATCAATGTTAGAAGACTTTGTTAAACAATTTCTGATCGATTTGATCGAGGAAGTATCTTTAGCCACTTTGATGGATATAGAAGTATCACCAATTTCTTGTGATACTTCGCTATATGGAGATTCGGCATTATCGAGTGAATGATAACATTTTGAGCAGACACATTTGTTATTCATTTTTGATCAAATAATCCAAATAGAATTTGTATATTTCTCAAAATTCTACAGGGAGTATCTTGCTCATGTAAATTCCAATTTAATGTATAATGTGATATTTTGTTTTCTGATGAAAGTTACATTATATATTTTACAAAATTGTAATTTCAATATTTATATACTTATACATTTAATTGACGCCATTTTGAAATATTTGAATAAAGTGTTGTATTAAAAAAACAGTTGAACTGACGAGTCGACACAGGGGCGTAAAATTATCGTACACACCGGAAAATTATCGTACGCCCCGGGAAAAATTTGAATTCCAATAATTTCTCGGATGAGATTTTCAAAATCTGGAAAAAGAGTGCGAGTTCCAACTTTTTCAAAGTTGTTGACCTTTTTTTTTTTAGTCTTCAACTTCAAAACCCTATCGTAAAAACGGTAAAAACGGCGTACCGCAGAGAGAAAGACTTATTCGTACAGAGATGAGATCGTACACAAATCGTACACAGATCGTACACGGATCGTGATGGTGGTGGTTCTCGAAATTTCGATTCACTATCCGAAAGTGAAATTTTCCTTGTGCAAAAATTCCCTTTGCTAAATTTGATGACTAAAAAAAAAAGGTCATCAAGTTTTCGATCGTACAGGTTGAATTTTGGATCGTACAAGGGCTCAAATAAAACTCTACATGTAAGTCGTGTTAGTCATCGATGACTAACGTTTTCAACTGTTTTTTTAATTACAAAATAATATGCATGGCCTGACAGGGATTTCCGTAAGAATTTGCGTGATGCTCAACGTGCATTAAACATTAATAAAAATTGAAAAAGAACAAAATAGTATCATGCGGAATTATAAAAACAGATCAGATTCATAACATTTTAAATATAATTTTTTTTTTCTGTGAAAAAATAAATCTTTTCATTTCAAGACTTTTCTTTTCCTAAATGTTAATAAGCTTAGCAGACAACAAGTGTATTCATAATAAGTAAAATGTAGATTAATTTTTTTAATGTTTATTTAGTATTTTGTATTTTATTTTATTTTATTTTTATATCAATAAATAATTGTTGAATAAATTATCCAATTTTCCATTAAGTATTTATTATGATAAAATTCGTTGATGGAATTATGTCCGCAAATCAAGGTTCCAATGTAATTACATTCCACTCTTATATTTTTTTTAGTTCATGAGAAGTAAGGAAATTTCCGGAAAAGTCATCACTTCCGGTTCTGATGAAAAGGGAATCCCCTTCAGTGAAAACCCGTTTGTATCAAATGAACGCAACGATGTTTTTCTGTACTATTATTAGTATTGGTACTTGGTGCATTATTAGCAATCGCTCATTGGCTGATACTTTAGTTCAGTTTCGCCAACGTTAGTTTTGTGATGAATAAGAAATCTTAACAAGTGATAAAATTAAATAACAATCTTAACTTTTCTGATAAAGATAATACGTGATAGTTTAGTAACGTAATTAGTATCATTTCTCAATAAAAGTACTTTCAAAAAATATATTTTAAACAAAATAAAACAAATTGTATATTACAATACAATATGGGTATGAACATTTATATTGTTATTATGGTTACGAGAAAAAAGACTTTATCATTTTATTAATATTAATATTATATTCTTTTGTAGGTTCGTCACAAAGTACTGAGCACAATATTCCAAAAAGTGCATATGAAAAAGCACAGAAAACTTCTACAAAAAGCAATTTGAATCATACTGAACACAAAATATACCCTGACTTACATAAACCAACTACTACAAGTAATATTGTAGAACCTATCAAAACAAATGTTTACTATTCAAAAAATGCATCTAATGTTACACACTATCCAGAAGGTAAGAATATTTATTTAAAAGAATAATTTACAAATTAAACTAAAAATTGTTCAATCCATCAATTGATTTAAAAGAGTCAAATTCATAACTATAATTTGATTAATAATTATATCAATTTTTCATTACAAAATGATTTATAAATAAAATATATATCTAATAATAAGGAAAGTGGAATATAAAAAATGAGACGTTTTTAAATATTAGCAAATTCATAATTTGATAGTATTTAAAAGGCAATACGTAGTACATTTTCAACTTGGACTCTGTATTTGAATAGTAATACTCTAGTAGCACAAAATATTGTAAAATATTGAATACACATGTGTATTTAATATTAAAAAGAGATTCAATTTTTTTTTTAATATTAAATACACATGTATTCTTCAATATTTTTCAATATTTTGTGTTACTAGGGTATATATATATATATATTGTATGTTCATTTATAGTAACATTTGTATTATCAATTTATTCAAACACAGAATTGGCAAACCACATGCAAAATAAAGAGTTTCATAATAATTTTGTACATTATCACGGAAACTCTAGTGAATTTGTTTCACCTCCTAAAGAAAAATTAATAAAACAATTAAATTTGAATCAAGAGAAAGTAAATAATGATTTGTATAAAAATAGTAAAGAAATGCCTAGCGCACCACCTAGAAGTGAAATTTTTTCGCAATCTATACATAAACCTAAACCTCCAGCAGAAATAAAAAACTTACAAGAGTTTATAAATAGCTGGAATATGTGGAAAGAAGATATGAGATTATATTTAATGCGTCAAGATTATAATAAGAAAGATTATGATAAATGGGGTTTATATGTTTTAAATTTCATGGGTTCTATTAGTCTTGAAATATTTGAAAACTTTATATTCAATAAGGATGAAGATAAAAATAATTTTACAGTATTAATTGATAAATTTGATGCATATCATAAGTTTATTACGACCGTTAAATTTGAAAATGAGAGTGTAATAAATTATATAAAAAGACTTAAGGTATGTTATAGATGAAACACAAAAGTGTGAAGAATACGATATACATATATATCTAATTTTTTATTTATATTTTTAAGGACAATTATACAAAAAATATCAAAGATATCGACAATATGGTAAAGAACAAAATACAAGAAGAAATTGAAAAGTTTTATAAAGAACGATTCATTGCAATAGCTAGTTCTAAGATACCAGATTTCAATTTTAAAAAAACATTGAAATCGTTAACGATAACAGAAATTGCTTTTCTATGGGACTTATGTAATAATTCCATTTGGGAAGAAAATAAGATTTGTAAATACTGTGGCAGGTTACATCCGAAGGACAAGTGTTTTGCATTTGGAAAAGAATGTAACAAATGTAAAAGAAGAAATCACTTCAGTAAGTATTGTCCCGGTGTAATGTACATTAATAACTGCAGCTTCTGCGGAGGAGACCACGGAGCAAAGAGGTGTTTAGCATATGACGAAACATGTTCTAAATGTAACAAACTACATCACTTTTCATGGATGTGTTCAAAAATAAGAATGTTACGGAATTGTAAATTTTGTGGTCTGGCTCACGTGATGGATAGAAGCAAATGTCCAGCACTGATAAGTTTATGTAGTATTTGTAAACAAACTGGACATTATGATATAAAATGTCCTAAATCGAATGTTTAGGAGGTACAATTATGAAATAAAAATAATGTCAATTCTAGGAAAGAATGTATAATTTAAAAAAAAAGAGATTGTACTTTATATTTTATCAATAATGTTGAATTAGATAAAAAGTGATAAATAATATGAACAACTTTTAAATAACTTTTGATACGTCTTGATTTTAAATTGATGGCAAAAACAATTTTCATTTACATCTTTATCAATTCTGAATATGTCGAAGTATTAATAATGTTTAAATAGTACTTAATTTCGATCATTTTCAATAAAAAAATATTTGTTCAATGTTAATTATTTAACGTTCTGAAATAATTATTTTAAATTGAAATAACTTTTAAACGACTTAATAGATCAATTTGAAATGTTTGCAATGACTTAAGCATTAAATAAGAAACATTCTCTTAAATTTTCATTCTCTTCAGCATTTTGACATACCTCCCAAACATTCTTAATCTAAAAGAGATATAATTATATTTTATTAATCGATACGTTTAATAAGTTTTAAGATCATATCAATATTCGTATACTTTATAAATAACTATTATATTTACCATTTAATTCTTTATATATGTTATATGCAATTTTGAAACTTGCAAAGTATAAATTTTATCACGGGTGTCTTATATACTCTCAACAATTTTTGTATAAACCCGCAAAAAAATGGGAAGAATAAAATTAATAGAAAAAAATAAAACAGAACACCAATACACTTACTTCCAATAGATAATCATCTTTCATTATAATTATCTTATACCAAAAAATCGTATTAGATAGTAATACTTTTGCATGAACTTAATATACAATAGATAGTCATACTCTATGGTAAAAGAAAAAAAAAACAAAAAAATAAATAAATATAAACAAATTAATTGAAAAACAATAAATTTCAAATAAAATCTAAAAAAAAATATAACAGATGAATAAAAATTAATGAATTAAATATAAAAAAAATATAAAATGACATATTCTATGGTGAATATAGTGTTTTCTTGAATAGACCACTCCTTGTGGATTGAAGATGCGACCAACCGAAATCGTTATCCTTAAACCATCGAACGAAACAGGGTGTTTGTGGGCGTTTTGTTAGGGTATTGGCTCATATACGCCGGCGCAGAATTCCAGACAGCATAAAGAAACCGTAGAATCCGTTTTCTCCTGTTCATAACGATTCGAACAGTATTCTGTGTAGGATCCATCCCAAGAGATTAGATAATATTTGAATCAAATAATTGTTAATATTATAATAACGCATATATAAATCAATCATGCCTCCTAAAACTAGTGGGAAAGCAATGAAAAAAGCTGGCAAAGCTCAAAAGAATATCAGTAAAACTGATAAAAAAAAAAAACGGAAGAGGAAAGAAAGCTATGCCATTTATATCTATAAAGTATTGAAGCAAGTACATCCAGACACTGGAATATCCAGTAAGGCTATGAGCATCATGAACAGCTTCGTTAATGACGTTTTCGAAAGAATAGCTGCTGAAGCATCGAGATTGGCACATTACAACAAGCGTTCGACAATTACATCTCGGGAGATCCAAACTGCTGTCAGATTATTGTTACCCGGCGAATTAGCTAAGCACGCTGTAAGTGAAGGTACAAAGGCGGTTACCAAATACACTAGTTCCAAGTAATTATTATTTTATATATTATTTTACTTTTTTATTTTTTTTTATTTTTCTTACTTTTTTCTATACACATACATATACACACACGCGACACACACACACATTTATATATATACATATATATATATATATCAACGATCCTTTTAAGGACAATTTCCTTTCATCAAAATTCCTCACATTGCTTTATTTTCATACATTTCAATTTAATTACATCTTCACAAATTTAATGTTTATATATATATATCTGTGTGTGGATGACTATTATTAATTAAATTCTGATGACTGAATATTAATTATATTTATATTGACAATTTTTGTGTATATCCTTTATGTTTCGTATGTTTTTTCTTGTTCTTTTTTGCATATGCATATATTAATATTCTTTTACATACATATATATATATTATTTATTTCCTATTGTATCGTCTTGATGACCAATAAACACTGTTATAGATGTGACTTTATAATATAATCTTAAGTACATTGTATGTCCAAGTTTGAAATAAGTAATGCGAAAAATAACTAACATTTGTTCAAATTATCAGAGAATTCAATTATGAAATTATATTATATTTCTTAACAACATGATATCATCGAATTTTTTAGTTAACAAGTTTCTCTAATCATGTATAAGTTTTCTTTTTTATATATCGAACAAATTGTCTCTCAAGTATTTCATCTCTATTTTTATTAATATTAAGATTGTAATAACTAACTACCTTTATCATAAACAAAGCTTAAATATTTATTATTTGTACATTGATAAATTTTAAATGATCTTAAAAAATGTTACGTAAGATTTAATGTAAAGCTAATGCAAGCTAAATTATTGTAACATTATTTTCATCCTTATTAATTAATGTTGCTGCTATGTAATATGTACTATTATGCATCTGCATAATATCATATAAGATAAAAGAATAAGAAAATTCATTTCAATTTATATACAATATTCTAGCGAATTATTCATTGTCTCATATTTGAAATACATATTTACATAAATATTATTATTTTCAAATTATATAATACATACTCTCTGTACTCTTATCCTATATTTTTACTAAAATTACTATTATATATTATTATACATTCATTTTTGATAATATAAATTAATAACAATAATAAACTTTTATATAATATTAGACTCTAACAATCATTAAAATCAGAAAAGCTGGGTAAAATATCATTTTCAATCGTAAATAATAAAAAATATGTATTTTATTTTACATCATGCATATATTTTTCAAAAGAAAATCTGTTATTGTAAAAATTATTTAAAATAGTATTTTAATTAAAATATACTAAACATATTTATGTGTTAAGATTTTGAATATTGAATGGAGTATACATAGAAATATATTGCAAATTCTTACGTTATCTCTTTTCATATTACATTAATCGTATTTACTATTTATTTTTAAACTAAGGACTGTTTAGTATATAATACTTCAAATTTAAATATGAAGTATTTTATTTGATACTTTAGATTATTGAAATAAAATATTTTATTTTTTTTTTTGTTGAAATACTATTATATTTCAATTGTAAAGAGAATTTACTATTTAAAATAGTATTTGAAATATTATTTTCCTAAATATTACCCAGCTTTGAAAATCATTAATAGTATTCCTCTGCTATGATTAGGAATGGCATAATATTTTAATGTAATATTATAGGTATATATACATAAATATGATAATAAATAATCTAATTATTTCCTGAACATAATAAAATCAGTTAAATTGTAACTCATTTGAAAATATATTAATATTTCATGCTGATTGGTCAAGTAAAGGAATAAATAAGTCTAGTACGTGAATAGTTGGTTCATTTTACGTGCGTCATATTATGAAAATAGCGATCTCTGGTGTTAAAATGAGACAACAATTGAGCCATTTAACAAAGTAGGAAAAGAGAATACCGAAATCAAGTCTTATTATAAGAGTTTATTGAAAAAAGTAAACCTGTGTTAGGGAAAACCAATTAGTATTCAGAGAAAGTAAAAAGAAAGATGGCCGATGCAAATTCATCATCATCATCAGTCGAAGTAACAGTTGGGCTGAAAAGTCCGTAGGCTAACACATAGATGGCATTACTAAGATTAAATTGTCATTAAAATGATTAAAAAGTGCCTAAATCATTTAAACTAATACTCAGTTTGTTAATATTGTAATTACAACAATGAATTAAATGAACCAATTGTAAACATTGATTTTATATAATAATTATTTGTTTTTTTTTCACATATTATATTATTAATATTAAATATTAATATATAGATAAATGCTTATAATGGTCGCCATGTTGTCGTCAAAATGTAAGGAATCTTACAATTAATAAGAACACATAAGTATGGTGGAGGTCGTTCGACTAGTACAACTCACATTATTTCACTCGCTTGGTATAGTACTCTGATCTTATTGTTGAAGAAATATCACATTAGGTGACGCATGGTGTACTATTGTTTTGGCGCGCAATTTAAATTGGTACAAATACATTAATCACATCAATAAATAAAAATATCATTATATTATTTCATTAGAAATTTTCAATTATTTTATATAGCATTACATTATTTTAAAGAGTTTACAGAATTTTGTTAATGTCTAAATAATATTTTCTATCAATAATATTTATCATATCATTTCATTTCTCATAGTTAATATAACATATTAACAATACTTCAATATATATATTTCATTCTTAGAATTTAAATAAATGATTATTATCAATCGTTTCTACCTGCTTATGTAAGTTTAAAGTCATCAATTATATAAACATCAATATTAAAATTTATTAATAAACGTTAACGACTATTTATCGGTACGTTATGTATTTTTAATTTTATTTAATTAATTTGTGTATCTGTTTGTATACGAATTTACTAAGCAGATTATTCAATTATATAAATATAATTTATCTTATAATTTAAAAGTATCAAAAGATTTGTGAAGAAAGGTATTATTACTATATGAATATATTCTAGTGAAATTAGTTTAGTAAGTTGGTATGCTTGAATTGAATTTCACCATTCTGTTGAGTGGTGAATTGTCCAATTACTGTAAATCTTGAATGAAATGTATAACCATTTTTATAATATATTATCGTGATAATGGATAAATATGTAGGAATAATTGTATGTTTATTTTTTGTATAAATAATTATAATATTTGTATGAAAATTTGTTAAATATGTTTTATATCACATAAATTGTATGAACGTAGGAATGTAAATATGGAAGACATGGAGTTCCAAAACACTCCATATTACCCTTAACCGCAAGACTTCTATGACTTTTATCAAATTTGTATGTGAGATTGGATAGACAAATTTGTATGCGGTTATTTTAAATAAGTTTTATAATTTCGTTGTTAAAATTGTTGTCTAGTTTTGTGCAAAATAATTAAAGAAAACATATTTTTATCCACATGCTCGTTAATATTTATCACTTGGAATAAAGTAAGCAAGTCAAGCTGTCAAGTTAACTTTACTAATTAATATTGATATTGATATCGTTTTAATAATCCAATGAAAATTATTTATTTTGCTTTATAAAGGATAATGTTGATACTTCGAAAGATACAATTAAGAAATAATGAAGATATTTGAGCATATAATCTTTTGATATACAAATACAACTATGCACCACAACAGAAGGAAAAAGAAAAGAGTAAATTATGGTGTTAGAGCTGTGGAAGTGGTTCGCGGTACTAAAGGATATGGTTTTACTATTTCTGGACAACAACCATGCATATTAAGTTGCATTGTACAAGGAAGTCCTGCTGAACATGCTGGACTACGAGCAGGAGATTATTTGGTTGCTGTTAATGGTCACAATGTTAGTAAAGTACCTCATGATGATGTAGTACAGCTGATAGGACACTCTCAAGGTGTCCTTAGATTACAAATAGCTGAAAATTATTATTCTGATTCATCGGACGAGGAAGGTTTTGCTACCGTTAGATCTAAACCTAAATATGCACATAAACCACGTGCTAATAATACAAATGCAATACAATTACAATGTAGAGTTGCTAAAGTTGTTAGAGATTTACAAAGTGGTGCCATGTTCGATACAGCTGGAAGAGCAATACAGCAAAGTAAAATACATTGTAATCATCTTCATCATCGTTGGAATATGAGTAATCCTCTTCCTCCACCACCTCCACCTACATCGCATAAACGGGATTCGGAAAAAATTGTACATAGAACTGTAGTTGGTTATTTGGGTACTATAGATATTCCTAATCAGTTGCATCCTTCTTCTATGATGCAGGTATGTATTACACATAGATGATATTCACAGTAAGTTTTTCTTTATTAGTTGTTTAATATTAATTTGTTTAATATTTTAGGTTTTACGGAAATGCATAAAAAGATTAAAAGCAGAAAAAAGAAATCCAACAACTGTACTTTTAACGATACACGTGGCAAACATCAAACTTACTAATTCAGAAAATCTTATTATCGCTGAATATCCATCATATAGGATAATATTTTGTAATTCATTTTCTGAAGAAGATAAACAGTACTTTGGAATATTAACAAAATCGGTCAAAGACAAGGATGATATAGTATCTAATTCGTGTCATGTGTTCACTATATATTATAAGTTAATAGATCATGCAATACACTCAAGTACTTGTAATGTATTTGGATTTACATGTACAAAAACTTCAGAACTAAACATGTGCCAAGAATTTCCTGATAGTTGCAATAGTTTAATCGGAGCCATACAAACCTTGTATATATCTGATTCTACAAATGGTGATGCTAATCCATACAACGAAGCACGAAGGCGTCAAGATGCTGCTTCGCCTCAACCTAGCAATGTTAGCACATCGACTGCCCATTCAAGCAATAGTGATTCCGGTATAGGTTTCAAAGATGATTATCGTTCTCGTTCGGAGAGAAATGCTGATTTTTCTCATTCCAGACAGCGTTCCATATTGCAGAGAGTATAGTATTTACTAAACGTATTAATCAATAATTAGAAACATATATGCTATATATCATACAAACTTGAAATGTTGTTTATGTTTAGGGTCTTATAATGCCTTCAAGCAGAGGAGGAACATTTAATGAGACTGCAGGTTCCAGACTCACAGTTCGTGCAATATCCGATTCAAGATGGGAAAATATAATAAGGTTAGGTACTTCCAAGGAAAATGCAGTATCATCGTCGTATGAAACAGCAACAGGGGTTGGCAACGATAAAGTATCCATGAACTTTGACAATTCACATGATGGAATTCCGTGTAGTGCGCCAACAGGAGTGGCGGGGAATCGTACGATCATTTCAGAAGGGAAAAACTCATGGAGGAGTGGGGATGCCACCACCTGTCCGGGACCATCTGCTCCTGTGGTCATGCAAGGGTTCGGTAGTTCGTCCGTTGGTTCTCTTTCATCTGCCTGTACTACTGCAATGCTTCACGGTAAGGACGAAGTTATCGAAACTGTGGAAAATTTGTCGAATCAATCTCAAATATTAACGCGAATATCGAACACCGATTGTGATA